GTAATCATAAACACAAACACAACAGAAGTATTCCTACTCATATTTTCTCTTTTACACTTCCTAAAGTAAGAATCTAGCAAATCTCTTAGGCTGCTTTCAGTGCCCTGGACCTGCCTTTGCCAGCAGGACGTTAGCTTGCCTGGTGTTTCTTCTGAGTCAGGGCTAGAACTCGACTATCCAGCCTGTCTTTGTACCTCAGCCTGCTTGGTTCCTCATTTCTGCCTTGCACTGGCTTGTCTCCAAGCCTTCCTCCTTACTTTCCTTTTCTATTCTTTACTCCCAAAGTGAGTGTATGGAGCTTTATCTGTACATTCCATGTGAGCCATTTTTCTAGCATTCAACACCAGCAAATTCCAGAGGAGGCAGTGCGGCCTCTGTTGGCATTTATGGCGTATTCAACAGACACAGATAAGTAACATTTCAGTACACCAGAGTGACTGCAATTCTGCACCTCATTCTTTCTGCAAAGAAAGTCCTGTAGGAAGAATGTCTTCGTTAATCTTTTTATTTGTTTCTTTTTGTTTTGTTTTGTTTTTTTTCAAGACAGGGTTTCTCTGTGTAGCTTTGCGCCTTTCCTGGAACTCACTCTGTAGCCCAGGCTGGCCTTGAACTCAGAGAGATAGAGATCTAGCTGCCTCTGCCTCCCAAATGCTGGGATTAAAGGCATGTGCCACCACCACCCGGTCCCTACCCGTTTCTTTCTTCCCAAAGTGGGGACACTTCATTCTAATCTCCATTGATGCATGTGGTACATACATTTAAAATGGTTGATTCTACTATATTTGATGTGCCCCAACATAGTTCACCAATCTGTAGTTTTTCCCCATAAACAAAGAAATATCACTGAAGTACACAGAAGGTTTTAAATTTCCATTGGCTAAAAGAGTATTTTTTGTTGGTTTACTGTTCTCATTTTTGGCATATTGATTTTTGTTTTTAATCACATGAACCACAAAGTTAGCTATATTTTGCAAATATTAAAAAATAAGTTGATTAAACAAATGGAAACTGTGTGGTTCAAAGAAGAAATCTGTTTCAGACATATGCAGCTTGCTGTAAAAACTAAGTTTAAAAAGAATAGACATTCTGTCACATGAGGAAGGTCTGTTTTAGGAAATGATTTATACTGTATATAAAGAAGATATGTGTTTTACTCAAAATATACAGTATTTAACTAAATCTTTTGTTATTTTTAGGAAAATTTTTCCTGAAATCTGTACATACAAGTACAGAAGGCTCTCACAATTCTGTATTTGATTTGGTTTGTATTGTGTCAACTACTGGATGTATTTTAATATTATTGTCATTAATTACAGTCATTGGAATAATGCTCATTAATTTTCAGTTAATTTATTAAAACTGCCGATATGTGGCAGTATTGTAATAAATGTGAAATCTAGTAAAAATGTTTTCCCAGAAAAAAATGAAGGAATATCTAATGAGTAGTTTAGTTTTAAGATATTTACAACAAGCTTCCTGGAATATGTATATCTTAAATAACGTAATTTATTTAGAAAATATTTTGCCTGAAAATTTTGTTTTTAATTGTATATATATATATATATATATATATATATATATAAGCATATGTACAAATAACTTTTTCTGAAAATTTTATTGTACATATATGAATATATACATATTATATGCTGAAATACATGCAAATATACATGCAAATATACATGCAAATATACATGCAAATTTTGTTAAAAGGAAAAATTATACTTCAAATATTCAAGTTTCACTCTATTTCTTTCTCCCTTACAGGGCATTCTCACCTGAAACTGAGACATCTATTCTTTACCGAGTGCTTGATCACATTTTATCGAAATGCTAATTTGAGCCCTTGCACAGTGATGATGAAAAAGGCAGTCTCTTATGCCTCTTTCCAGACAAAGACTGAGATTACTGGTCATAAAACTAAGTCTCTGAAACTGCTTCTTTTCAAAACCAACCTCTTTCTGAATGCCTTATCTTTATTGTCCAGGCAGAGTAGTAAACTTCTTCTACAAAATTATGCTCCCAATGTCTTTCCGTCATAGCTCGGTCTGTTATAAATCTGTTTCCAACTCTTTGTCCACAAATGATCAGTTCCATTTTAGATAATGACACCTTCTGATCATGAGTTCCTCAGAAATGCACCATTCTAATGATTGTTAAGACTTGTTTGATTCTGCAGGGCAGAATCTTCTTAATTTCAGGATTTTTTTTTTTTGTGAGAGTGATTGCTTTATTGTGTTGATGAAAATGATGCATGCTCATCATAAAATCTGAAGCAAGAGGATGAGAGGATGTAAAGATAGGCAAATGATAGTTGCTGTTGGTCAGAGTATTTGTGATGAGTTCTTTATTCAGCACCTCTCAACAGGAATTGTGGTGTGAATTGGTGCCAGGATCAAATATGAACCTTAGGGTTTATTTCCATGCATACTATTGCCAGCAGAATTTATTTGCCTGTGGTTTCATTGTTGTGATTTATTTTGGTGTCAGCTTTTGTCTGTCATCATCCTTAATTTCTATAGTTTCTGTCACTGACTATATGAATGCCATATGCTATGTATGCTATGTCCTCATGAGTAATCTCTAAGAAGGTATGCTGTGTCCTCACCAGTAACCTCTAAGAAGGTAGCCTCACACTATCTTCTTTACTTTCTTTCACAACCTTAGCAAACTAGGCCAGATTTTCAATCATGTGTCAAATGATTAAGGATCTTACTTACATCTGTAAAATATGTTTTTCTTTAAAACTCAATACCTTGTTGGTTGACATGCTATTAAATTCACAGGCCATTCCTACACTCAGTTGTTGGAGGTCCTTGGAGACAAAGTAATATTGATGATGATGTTGATGATGATGATGGTGATGTTGATGATGATGATAATGATATGATGGAGGCACCTTTGCACTCTGTCTTCTGGATATACTGATTTTCAAATTCAACAAAAAGTCAATAATGAAATCCATTGATTTCTGCATAACATTATGTAGAAGCAGGAACTCAGGAAGCCCCTGGAGAGTGACTTACTTAACATTAACACATTTTACATTCATTGAAGTGATAAAAAATATCTGTACACAATATGCTTCATAATTTTGGCATAATAAGAATATTGAAGGAGAAAGTCACTATAATAATATAGTCTGCCTAATTCTTATTTATTTAAGACAAGATTTCTCTGTGTTGCCCTGTATAACAGGCTGGCCTTGAAGTTAGAGATCCACCTGCCTCTGCCTCCCCGGTGTAGGATTAACCACCACCTGGTTAATTCTTCATTTTTATTTAGGGAGATATTAAATATAGATATTCCATTTCTTGAACATTGAAGTCTCTTACTGCATATCTCTCTACATAGCTCCCTCCTGAAAATCTGGCTATAAATGACATGTTTCCAGCCAAGGAGAAGGGATATCCTCATCCAAAATCTGATCTCACAATCACTTTCTTACCCTTCTAGAACCATTCTTAAGATTCTTAAGATCACAGAGATCCGCCTGTCTTTGCCTCCAGAGTGCTGGGATTAAAGGCATGCACCACCACCGCCTGGCTCCCTTCCATCTTATATATAATTCTCTTTCAAATCTCTCTATGGCACATGGTGAAAAACTTGTCACTTCTTAGAAAGTATTAATTATATAATATGGCTTTATTCTAGAATACGTTGAAAGCAAAGCGACATTATATACCACCAACCTTGCACCCCATAAAAAGAAAGGTGTGGAACTTCCTTTTTATAAATTATAATTACATTATTACAAATTTAAATTCTACTCCAACCCTTTTGTTTTTCATGAAGACCCTTCAAATACTTGAAAACGTTTGTCTCCCATGTCTTCGGCTAATTTTCCCAAGCTAAACATTCTCCTAATTATAGCAGTTTCTTCTTTCTTCAACATGAGTGATATTTGTCACTTTCTCTAGGCAAATGGTTGCCTTTTTGGCTCCCATTGACTCTCACTATGTAGCCCAGTCTGCTCTTGAACACGAGATCATCATGTTACTTTTGCCTTCCAAGTTCTTGGATGGTTACTGTGTGTCACCAACCTGGCTTATAAAAAAATTAAAAAAGCAACTTCACACAAAAAACTGAGTGTGAAGGGTCCCACCTGTCATCCCAGCACTGAGGAAACTCTGACAGGTGGATTGCCAGTTCAGAGCCAGCCTAAGCCACATAATAAGATCCCAAGTCTACTGCCGCTCCTCCCACAAAGTGTCCCATGCCACAGTGATCATAGACCTCAGTGTTTTTAGAGATATGGAGATGAAAGAACTGATATTTGAAAGTGGGAACAACTAAACTGAATACCAGTGCATATGCACGAATGATTTCTTTTGTTACTTTCAAGATCATCCGTAATTTATCAATGTGTTTGAAGTCAGAATTCTTGGTGATGTGTTCTGATAATGCAGTGTAGCACACACTGATTTGATACATAATTCTGAGACTTCAAGTAATTTTAATAAACCATTGTACTTACTTTAAATTTTTATAGAGGTTCCTAATAAAATACCTGCTCATTCAAGACTTTTAGCAGATAATGGTACCCATGGAAAAATAAGAAAAGCAAATAGCTAACATTCTGTATGCACCTGGAATCTAAATAGCCAATCCAATTTCATTGTTGCTCTATTTTTCCAATCTTTACTTCTGTCCAGTAGATGTCAGTATTGGATAAAAGCAAAATAGCATTCCCCTTACTATTTGCACACTGCTTGGGAGAAACCTGAATTGCCCTGTCTACCGTGATGTGCACATGTAGATTTTGTCAATTCTATGTACTTAGATAATTAACATTATGGGTTACTTCTATATGCCGCTGATCTTTAATGTTATTAAATATTTACCTTGTGTTTCCTCTGTCCTGTGTTTAGCAAGAAGAGGAGAAGATGAAACAGGTGTAATTAATTGTTTCTAAGCAGCTGGAAGATTGCTTAGAAACAACGTCACCATTTCTGCTCAGATCTGTATAAACATAATTCCTCATTTTATCCTTCTCACAGCCTCTGGATTTTGAAACGAAGAAGGCATATACTTTCAAAGTAGAGGCCTCCAACCTTCACCTTGACCACCGCTTTCACTCCGCTGGCCCCTTTAAAGACACTGCGACGGTAAAGATCAGCGTGCTGGATGTGGACGAGCCTCCCGTGTTCAGCAAGCCACTTTACACCATGGAGGTTTATGAAGACACTCCTGTGGGGACCATCATTGGGGCTGTCACAGCCCAAGACCTCGATGTGGGCAGTAGTGCGGTTAGGTAAGAATAACCATTTTTAATGTTGCATTAGACAAACGAAACCCAATCAGCAGGAGAAAACAAACTCAATCACTCAAGGTGCTGCCCAGGAATAGCCGATCGTGCCCCACAAAATGTAATGAATTCTTATTACTGTAAGGATGGAAGTGTTGCCATAGAAATCGAATACAAACAACCAGCACACAGCCTTGTAATACTGTTTGCTGCGATGTAATGGTGGACATATCACTCTAATTAATAAGCCACTTTTTCATTTATAAAAGGTTCTGAGCAAAACAACGTCAGATCATTCACAAGATTATTGATTGGAAAATTTCAAGACAAGGATCCCTTAGGAAAGGAGACCCAAATATCCCACCTTTAACATTGTAATCAGAATCACCTACTTTCCTTTCTTTCTCACATGCCAAATATAGTTATTTCAAATGCACATCCCCCAAACTCTTAGATGATCCCATAATCAACCCGAGTCTAACATCTAGTTTCTCCTATAAATAGCCACTAAACAAGACATAGAGATTCCCGGTTGGAACCATTCTAGCAAGTTCTCTAGCTGTGAGGCTTTGAACCTAAATAAGCGATGAGGTTTGAAAATATGTGGCATGTTACGGATAGACCAGGTACTCCTATTCCATGTATAAAAGAGGGAAGGAAATAGTAGTGTTACCTGCATGATTCCAAATGCTAGCAGGAGGAAGTCCACTGGACTTGCAAATTTATTAGGAACAACTTTTCTTTAGATCTGGGCTTCTTCATCTTACAGATATGCTGAGTCTGGAGTCTTCTAGATCCATTGGAATGACTCACAATTCATACCACTTCAAAACCAGTGTCCACTCTGTGACTTTCTGTGTCAGTGCCACATAGGTATTGTAGCTAGTTTTTCTGGCCCTGCCAGGGCCCATATCAGGACAAATATCTCTTACCTGCCAGTCCCGCAGCCTCTCAGACCCAACCAAGTAAACATACAGAGACTTGTATTGCTTACAAACTGTATGGCCGTGGCAGGCTTCTTGTTATCTAGTTCTTCTATCTTAAATTAACCCATTTCTATTAGTCTATACTTTGTCACATGACTCGTGGCTTACCAGTACCTTACATCTTGCTTGTCATGGCGGCGGCTGGCAGCGTCTCTCTGCCTCAGGCTTCCACTTCCCAGAAATTTCTTCTCTGCTTGTCCCACCTATACTTCCTGCCTGGCTCCTGGCCAATCAGCATTTTATTTATACAGAGTGACATCCACAGCATAGGTATATAAGTAACAACTCTAGAACAATCTTAAACTCCCCATTGGCCTTGGGCATATACTGAAACCATTTCACGAGTAGACATGCCTTCCATAGCTCATGATGCTGAATTATATCTGATTTCCTTCTTCAAGAAAGTCATATGCATTTGAGTAAATAGTTCAGTGATCTGGTGCTGTTTTAGAAGTCTTGTACTTTTCCTGAATTTTTCTCATGTCTCTGTTTTTGTTAATCCCAGTGTGGAGTGAGTATTCTGTAACATTTCCTTCTCCGATTGACATGATGGGTGAAATCCTTTGTTCATTCCAAAACCAAGTTCTTTAGTATGTGATCAAAAGAATAGGCCTCATAGATTCTTCTGAAATTCATTTGTTGTAATATGTTTTCCTTTTTGTAATATGCAAAGGCTAAAGTATTAATATTTTATATACTGATATCCTTTTGCTTAACAATCTCATCTTCAATTAATTTGTCTCCTTTGATGTTTGTGTAAGTATAGACTCACAATCTAATTCATAATAATGTTGTTCTTATTAAATCTAAGATACATACTGATTTTTGTATCTACAAAGTTGTATCTTTTGATAGAAGAGCATTGCGACCTGAAAACTACTCCAAAATTCTCTGCACATGACCACATGAATTGATACTGCTCTGGTGTCCAATAATGTGTGTGTCTGTTTGCCTGTCTGTCTCCCTCAATCTCTCTCTCTCTCCCTACATTCCTCTCTCTCTCTCTCTCTCTCTCTCTCTCTCTCTCTCTCTCTCTCTCTCTCTCTCTTCTTTCTTTCTTCTCTTTTTAATGTCACCCATGGAATAGTATTGTAAAGCATTTCCTCTAACAGAAATTATTATTTCTGGATTATTTTTTGTTGAAATTACAAGTTAGTTATATTTGTCCATTCCCTTTGTCTTTCCAACTATCCCATGTACTGTTCTCTACTCTCTTTCATATTCATAGCTTCTTCAATAATACTTTTCTTATTTATCTGTAATACGTCATCAGATTGGCTTTATCATTTGTGTTTGACCAAGACACTGTTCAAGGTCCCTGGATACTCTCAATAAAAATAGAACCTTTTTCTAAAGTTACCTAATTTTTTTCTCTTCCATTAGACCACTTATCAAAATCATTCTACATATCTATACATTATAGAAATTCAAAGTTCTTTCAGACCCTGGACATCTTTTAGTTAGGGATCAGCTACAAAGGCACCTGCCACTTGGTACCAGTTTGCTTTCTGACCATTTCAGTATTCTATGACAGAGCCCTATAACATTTGAAGCAAGAAATATTTCCATGCCACAGTCAGGAAACTTCGAAGTCCGTAACCAAAGTGAAAGTAAATACAGCATCTTGGTAACATCCCCATCTTCCTCTGCTGCATGGTCTTCTTGTATTCATAAAACAAAGCAGCTCCTCCAAGTTCTAAAAAGGTCAGTTAGCAGGCTGGAGAAATGGCTCAGCAGTTCAGAGCAGAGACTACTTTTCCAGAGAACCTGTATTCTGTTCCCAGCACCGAACTGGTGGCTGACAACTATCTGTAACTCCATTTCCATGTACATCAGTACCTTCTGTGTCATCCTCAGACAATGTACACATATGGTACACAAAAATGAGTATGGGCATGCACACATACGTATTAAATAAATAAATGTTATGGAAGGACAGTGATCTCTATCTTAAGAAAGCCACACAGGCTCATTATTTCTCCTCCTAAGGACTTATCTCCTACCTTCACACCTTCATATTTAGTTTATTATTTTGACATATGAATGTGTGTGTGTGCTGATGTGAAGTGTGTATGTGTGCATGAAAGCAAACATGTGCATGCATGCATGAGCATTTGTGAGCATACAGAGGAAGAGAAAGACACCCAAGTATCTCTCTATTACTCTCTGCCTTATTTTCTTGAGAAGCAATTTCTCCATGAACCTGTATGTAGTCTTGTGGCAGCATGTGTGAGTGATCATACTGTCTTCAACCTATACCATGCTGAGGTTATGAATATGCACTAACATACTTGTTTTCATATTTTGTTGTTGTTTCTGTTTGTTCTTTGTTTATTTATTCCGATTGGATGATGGGATCTCAACTAAGGCACTTATGCTTGTTAAGCAAGAACACTTATGAGCTGAGCCATCATTCCAGCTTCTTATCATATAGCCAGCCCCCAAATCATGACACAGAGACATATTATTAATTATGAAAGCTCACTCAGCCTTAGCTTAGAATAGTTTCTAACTAGCTTTTATAACTTAAAATAATGCATTTCTGTTAATCTACATGTTGCCATGTGGCTCGTGAGTTTTTAATCTCTCCTCCTATGTGTTCTGTTTCCTCTATGTCAGGCTGACAACTCCACCTTCCTTCTTCCTCAAGACCACTCTGTAACACAAATCTTAAGAGGTCTTATTAATAGAAAAACCTGGAGCTAGGTATTGGGGTGAATTCTGAAAAGTCAGAGAAGCAGAACAAGCCACAGCTAACCTCACCTCACCAACTTCTCAGCTGATCTTGTTTCCTCAGACTGGTAGCTTCTGAGTCCTCCTCATCCGAATAGATCTCAGCTGAACTGCAGCTAATAGCCTAAAAGCTTAAAGGGCTCTAGTTCCTGGTTTTCATGCCATATATACCTTTCTGCTTCCTGCCATCACTTCCTGGGATTAAAAGTGTGTGCCACTATGCCTAACTCAGTTTCCAGCATGGCCTTAAAATCATACTCTGCCTCCAGATGCTAGATTAAAGGCATGTGCCACCACTGCCTAACCTCTATGTTTAATATGGTGGCTGTTCTGTTCTCCGACCCCCAGATAAGTTTACTGGGATGCACAGTATATCAACCACACCACTCTGTTCCCAGAAGTCCTGCCTAAACTCTTTCTGCCTAGTTACTGGCCATTCAGCTCTTTATTAAACCAATCACAGTGACAAATCAGTGTAAAGGAATATTCCACAACATATCTTGTGTTTAAGAGGGATGTAGTGGGTAGCCATTCCAGCTTTGATCTGGAAGTTCCAACCCCTTTTAACCTCCTTTTAACTACGTGGAGTGAAGCTCAGTCGGTAGAGCATGAGACTCTTAATCTCAGGGTCCTGGGTTCGTGCCCCACGTTGGGCGCCAGATTGGTGTAATTATTAAGGCCACTCCACGTAGTTAAAAGGAGATTTATTTAATGGCATAACTTACAAATTAAGGGATAGGTAGGGCGCGGGGTCTGGGGAAGGTGTATCACAGTCCAGCCGTGTTCTCTGGAGCTCTGCTTGGTCCACCTCCACTATCCAGGGTCCCGGAACAGAGCCTGCCTATCCAGATCTCAGGTCCCCAGGCGCTTCCCTTGGCCCTGCCTTGTAGGTGTGACAGTTGCCGAAGTCTCAATGGGGGTTGGAACTTCCAGATCAAAGCCGGAATGGCTACCTACTACAGAGGGAACTCTAAAAAGTACATCTGACTTATGTAAGGGGAGAGAAACAATTACTGGGCACTTTTCATTTCAGTACAAATCCTCTCCAGGTTCTTCATTGGAAACAAGCTATATTTTTATACTTGTTATCCTTACAACACCTTTAAAAACTACACACAGACACAGTGATGGGCGAGAGATTCACAATACCGTTGTCTATTGGTATGCTGTCATTGGTCAGTCATGTTGCTGAAGCCCTTATCGCTCTTGATTATTTTGTTGTCAGTAGGAAACATCTGATGAAGAGATTGATCTTAATTTTTGTAGAACATAAATGGTTATTGGAAC